ACAAAAAGGCTTAAAAATATACGAGAAAAAGCGAGTTGCTAGATGGCATTTGGTTTATGACCGGTTACCAGAGTGGAGGATAGCAGATTAACTGCTGCCTCTCTTCCCCCCCAGAAAGAAGAAAAATCCCAGAAGTTTTTTTCTACAAGGAGCTTTAACTCCATTTGATTTTATATGAAATGTTTTTAAACTCGTTCTGCTGTTTTGCCAAAAAAAAAAAAAAAAAAGTTGTAAAATTTTTTCACAGATTTCAAAAAATTTTAATATAATTGCTTGTTTGTGTTTCTATGCATAACAGTCTTTGGCCCTTCCAAGTGGACAACTGTAACAGTATCAAAATTACAACCTTGTGTCAGATACCAAAATGGAAAAGCTACAGGGGGGAAAGATCAATTTTATTTTATCCTGACCCCACCTCAACCTCCTCAACACACACTCACGCCACTCACGAGACATTCCCGGGCTGTGTCTTGAACTAACAGGGCTCAGCCCTGGCACAATTCTAACACTGCAGTGACCTATTTTGTAACAGACATTTCCATACAACTGAAAGAAAAATGACTTTCCAGCCAAACTGCCGTGAAGAAACAAATGTCAAATGCCAGCACTAAAGTACTACACCATTTTTATTAGGAAAAATTAGTCACAATGTATCCACCAAACTCTAAACAGAGTGCAGGGATGGCGGAATCCTCCTGAAATATGCAATACTCTATTTAATTGAACGCTTTTTAAATTTCATTTTCTGCACCTGCTCTTCGCCTAGCATAATTCCTCCATAAACCCTGGAACCCTCTGAGGAAAGTGTTTGAGATGTAACAGATGGATTAAACAATAGAGAATCCTATAACTCAAACAGTAACAAGGTGTTCACAAGACCGTTTTTGGTTTTTAACCTTTTACTTATTAAAACGCTTTGGACTTCAGTTAAGCTTCTTTGCTCAGCTTTCACACCACCTTTGAAACAGAAACCCCAGGCACTTTGACAGGTCATCTGTGTCACTGTAATGACTATAGATGCCTCTGCTGAAATGCTAGGTGGTAAATTCCTGCTGACATAGACCAGAACAGCTGCAAACTTTGGGACAGTTCAAGTCAGCATGGGTTATCCCTGCCTCTTACAGAGATACTCCTAAGTAAATCACAACAAACATCACTATCCTCCTATAGAAACAGTAAATCAAAGCTAGATTCATCACAAAAACAGTGAGTGTGTGTCTGTGAAGGAAAAATACAGGTTTAAACTATTAATGGACCAAAGATTAACCTGATAGTATGTTCCAAGAAAACTGGGTCTGAAAGGCGAAAGGCAAGAGGGAAGAGGAAACAGTGTTTGGTTACTGTTGAAACAGTCCTAATTTAGGCTGCACATGTGCATTTTAAATGATTAGAATATAAAACTGCCTGGAAAAACAAACAAAAATATATGCAACAACATGAATAAAGTAAAACGTACTAACCTAGCAGCTGAAATCTACCTAATTTTTTGTTTCTAGCCTTCTCATTCTCCCTTTCTCCTGTCTATGGTTTGCTCTCTTCTGTGCATTCCCCCACACCCACCCTTCCATCGCCTGCATCTTTCTTTTTCCACTTTCTTTTAAGTGGTCATATAGCCCAAAAGCAAAACCCACCTTCGCCCAGGGTTTGAAGAGTCTGTTTCTGTCCCTGTGTGTATGTACAAAGCAGGTGGGGACTGAAAACAGTATTCTACTCTCAAGTACCACTTACCACACCCAGCTTCCCGCATTTAAGAGTCCAGCTCTAGGAGAACCACTCCTCTAGCTAAGGTCAGTGTTTTAGCATTTCCTAGGTAATGAGCTTCTTCACACGTACTAAGAGTTTAGAGATGCTTATGAGAAACTGATCTTTAATTTTTTAATTAATAATTGCCATGTCAAATGTATCAACTGTATTAGCAATTTTATTAATAGTAGAACCCTGCTAGTCCACATTAATTGCTAAGAGTTATTAGCTAGAAAACAAACACTATGCATCATATATAATATAGCTCAAGAGGAGCCCTGTTCATTTATTTGACCAATGCAGTTTACACATATTTATAGACCTTTGTAATGCTCTAGCAAAAGATACTATTTAGTGTGTTTTGTGAAAGTAGCAAGTCTCAGTAACGTGAAGCCTCATTGCCACACTCTACTATTAAATCTTTGCTGAGAAATTGGGAGAGACACTGGTCCTCTGTGTGTGCAAATCACGCAGTGTATGCATTAGCAAAGTGCATTCACAATCCAGGGGATGATTTCTTCTACCCACTGGAAGGTGATTTTTTTTTTTTTTTTAAAGAATCCTGTCTGCTCTGTATCTCCTAGCCCTAAAACACTGCCATCTTTCCCTTTCCATAAATCATCCTCAACATCCACACTTCCCCTTCTCCTCTTCCCACGGCTCCCACACACACAATATCTGCCCCAACTATCCTCTGCAGATACTAAGTGAAGGATAAAGCTTAAAATCAATTGCACACCCATTTATCCCACCGAAGGTTGCCACTGGCACTACTTATCTCCCTTGTCAACAGCCTCAGCAGTGAGGTCACAGACTGAACAGGCTGAAGGGACTGAACTATCCTCCTCTATCCCTAGAGATGGTGCCTCCAGGCCAGAGGGAAAGCGTCTTTTAGTACAGCAACATGAGCTTCACTAGACAAAGGGGCTACACATAGCAATGTGGGAGAAGAAATACTTTCATATGGGAGAAAAAAAGAAAAGGAGGACTTGTGGCACCTTAGAGACTAACACATTTATTTGAGCATAAGCTTTCGTGAGCTACAGCTCACTTCATCGGGTGCATTCAGTGAGCTGTAGCTCATGAAAGCTTATGCTCAAATAAATGTGTTAGTCTCTAAGGTGCCACAAGTCCTCCTCTTCTTTTTGCGGATACAGACTAACACGGCTGCTACTCTGAAACCTTTCATATGTGAGGATGACAGAAGGACTGTAATGAGTGCTGGCTATTTGACGAGAGCCTATAACCTGATTGCAAACTAGACACGATTACATTATGCTCGAATAAAGACTGGGAGTGGATGTGTCATTACACAAAGTAAAATTATGTCCCAATGTTTATTCCCCTCCCCATTCCCCCCAACTGTTCCTGACACGTTCTTGTCAACTGCTGGAAATGACCCACCTTGATTATCACTACAAAAGGATTTTTTTCTCTCCTGCTGGTAATAGCTCACCTTACCTGATCATTCTCGTTACAGTGTGTATGGTAACACCCATTGTTTCATGTTTCAAGCTTATGCTCAAATAAATTGGTTAGTCTCTAAGGTGCCACAAGTACTCCTTTTCTTTTTGCAGATACAGACTAACATGGCTGCTACTCTGAAACCTATAACCTGATTGTGTCTCAGGAATTACTGACAGGGTGACCCCAACCACAATGGATACCTTCTTATTTATAAGCAAAACAATACAGCTATTTATTAATATTAGCAAGCACATGCAGGCAATGCTCTCTAGAATTCAGTGAATGTCTTTGCGGGCCCTTTTAGCTCAATATTCCAATTCCAAAAAACAAAAACAAAAAAGAAGCAAAGCAGCCTTTAGTTATAGTGACTTTCTGCCTTTCCCTGGGAGGAGCTAGGTAATGGGAAAAACTGCTAACGGCGTTTTACCCTGAAAAATAAAGTCTGCCCCACACATATTATTTGTTTGTTTGTTTTTAAATCTCTTCTCCCTCTTAACAAAGCTCTCCTAAAACAGCACAAAGCCCACTATGCTCTCCTGGCTCCTTCCCTCCCCCCTCTGAATACCACAGTGACTAAATACGAGTTCTCCTTTAAATAAAACAACAACCACTAAAAAAATAATGCAAAGCACTGAAGCAGTCATGAGACTCCTTGTGCATATTTGGCTGGTGGAAGTAGCTGGAACTCCCTGTCCGTTGGCTTAGGCCTGTAAGCATCTGAGGTTTTGAAACTACGATCTAAACCAGCTTTTCTGCTTTTTAAACAGCCTTGCTCTGGTTCCACAGAACCGGCACAAAGGTCGTAAGAAAGCATCTGGTGTCTTTTTTTTTTTTTTGGTAAGCACATTTCAAGTGTTTTTTATTTAAATAGATAGCTTTATGCTTTCCCAAATTTTTATTTACAGCCTGCTTAACTAGGGTGACCAGATGTCCTGTTTTTATAGGGACAGTCCTGTTTTGGGAGACTTTTTCTTATACAGACGCCTATTACCCCGCACCCCCTGTCCCGTTTTTTCCACAGTTGCTATCTGGTCACCCTACGCTTAACTCATTCCAATGTTTCCTCAAGTTCTTGCTAACCTTTCCTGTATACATGGTGAAGGAATGGCCAGGTATGATCTCCTATCCCTGAAGCTGGCATGTGACCTGCTCAGTCACTCCGGGTGGTGTTTTCACTTCTTTAAACAATAACCAATGAGCTCTATGGCAATTATGAGGGAAGATTACCGGCCACCCCATCACTGAAATCAAAACTTTACCAAACCTTCTGCCCCAAAACGTTTCACGGTGACCGAAGCACTGGCAGTGTGATGAACCAGGCTGCATAGGGACAATATATATGATGTGGAGAGGTAGTCCTCCATACCACTGTGATGACTCTGATCTCTTTATAATTTTGATTTGCTTTCAACCCGCATCACACTGGCCTCTCCATCGCAACCCCTCTACAACCGTCACCTATTAACATGCCATTGGAAGCAATGGCACATTTCCATCAGCACAGCACGTGCATTCTATCTAAAACAACAACACAGCAATGAAGTGGTTAATGTAGGACTGAAGCACCACAAATGCTGAGTGGTCATATACAGCCATCAGAAAGCTAGGATTTCTTGCCTACTGCATCTCCTCCATGTCCTTCTTTGTATTAATGCTTCTTTCACACACAGGTTTTCAGTTACCGTGATGCAGTCAGATCTGACTCAAGACCCCACACAGACGCAAGAAATTTTTCCTAGGACTATTAACTTGTAGAGAATAAAGGAAGTATCTCAAAGCCATACACTTACTTTGCCAAGTGGTTCGTGAGCATCTGCAGCATCTGTCTGTTTTTTTCTGGGAGCCGATGAACAAGGCTGTGGATCTCGGAGATTCTGGACTCCTGATTCTCCAGCTCTACATTGGGTAACAAGGAGATTATTCCATCGGCTACCTGCTTTTTTTTTTTTTTTAAACAGAATAAACCACCCAGATCAGGACAGAGATTCAATCAGAGATGTAGGTGTCTTGAATACATCTGGGCGGGAAATGGTTCACCCATCCCGTGAAGATTTTCAAGATTTCAGAGATCGGAATGGACAATAGTCGAGCTACCAAGTCAGTCTCTGTCTCTCAATCCCTCCTGTTGGACCTTTTCCATTTTAGATAAATAATTAAATATTTGTTGCACCAGACAGACTTGGCACTCAACTGAGATGCAGGCGACTCAGGTTTAAGTCTATCTTGCGGGGAATATTTAATTATTTATACTAAGCGGAACAGCTCCCACAGGAGAGACTGAAATTGGCAAAGGAAAGACTTGAACCTGGATCTTCCACATTGTAATCACCAGGCTACTGGCTACTCGGGGGGGTGGGGGGGGTGGGAGAAGAAGGGGTGTCTGTCTTTGAAGTTTTGGTTATGACAATTGACATTTTCCCAAAAAAACAGTTGTTGAAAAATTCCTGACCAACTCTAGCATGAACCCCTGGTTTTGCATCATCTCTCTATTCAGCTGCACTGTGGGTCCTCAAAATTCTAAGGTTTCTTTTTACCCACGTAGTCCCCCATGATGAAAAAAAGTTTCTAAAAAAAAGGGACACACAAACCAAAAGGGTGAACTAATGGACCGAGGATGGAGGTTGACAAAATGCCAAGCAAAGCCAAGGCACTTACAACCAGAGACCAGGCTGATTGTAATTCAAGTGGCTACCATTTGGCTTGTTTCAACAGAGAAAGCAGCTGAATGTGCTTGTATAATACATGTTCAATCTCCATAAGGTTATCTTTAGCCCGATAGCTAGAAAGGTTTTGACAACTGGTCATCCTTATTTCATTCACAAAAGTGGAAATATCTCAATATTTGCATTTCATTTATAGCATGAGGCCTTTGGTGAGAAAGTCATTGGAAGTCATCTTGTAAAAAGCCATTCTTTGGATATTTCACCCTCCCTTTCCCTTCCAGGAAGGGCAGGTTCAAATGGAGTCATTTCAGCACATTAATATACCACATGAAAGACTAGCAACATCAGCAGCTGCTACGTACCTATTACTTGTTTTGAGATTCAAGGATGCTAAACTCTTTACAAACAATTAACTGACCCTCACAATGGCCCTGTGAGTTTAGAAGGCAACAGAAATAAATCTGAAACATAGAGAATTTGAGTGATTTGCCCAAGGTCAGTGACAGAGTTGAAATAAGGGAACCGGAGTCCTGATTCCTGGTCCCAAACACTAACCATTCAATATCTAAGAACAGCACTGAACACCTTCATATCTAATAAGGTCTGCAATTACCATAATTACCCACCCAACAGAGCCCCTGCCTCATACAGTGCACAAAATGGACAGTGCTCACTTAATGAGCAGCTATTCAATATTTTGATTTCTCCTCACTGTTCAATGTGTGGCCCTAGGCCTTGTTTACTGAGCACTATTCCCGCTCTGTACTGAAGACAGAATTGCTTATTTCTTCATAAAAAGAAAAGAAGTACTTGTGGCACCTTAGACACTAACAAATTTATTTGAGCGTAAGCTTTCGTGAGCTACAGCTCACTTCATCAGATGCATTCAGTGGAAAATACAATGGGGAGATTTATATACACAGAGGACATGAAACAATGGGTGTTATCAATCACACTGTAAGGAGAGTGATCACAGAAGATGAGCTAATACCAGCAGGAGAGCCGGGGGGGGGGGGGGGGGGAGAAAACCTTTTGTAGTGATAATCAAGGTGGGCCATTTCCAGCAGTTGACAAGAACGTCTGAGGAACTGGGGGGGGGATAAAGATGGGGAAATAGTTTTACTTTGTGTAGGACACCATCATAGGGCCAAATCACATCAGCCACACTATCAGAGGCTCGTTCACCTGCACATCTACCAATGTGATATATGCCATCATGTGCCAGCAATGCCCCGCTGCCACGTACATTGGTCAAACTGGACAGTCTCTACATAAAAGAATAAATGGACACAAATCAGATGTCAAGAATTATAACATTCATAAGCCAGTCGGAGAACACTTCAATCTCTCTGGTCACTCGATTACAGACCTAAAAGTCGCAATATTACAACAAAAAAACTTCAAAAACAGACTCCAACGAGAGACTGCTGAATTGGAATTAATTTGCAAACTGGATACAATTAACTTAGGCTTGAATAGAGACTGGGAGTGGATGGGTCATTACACAAAGTAAAACTATTTCCCCATGTTTATTGCCCCCCCCCCCCCCCGTTCCTCAGACATTCTTGTCAACTGCTGGAAATGGCCCACCTTGATTATCACTGCAAAAGGTTTTCTTCCCCCCCGGCTCTCCTGCTGGTATTAGCTCATCTTAAGTGATCACTCTCCTTATAGTGTGTATGATAACACCCATTGTTTCATGTCCTCTGTATATATAAATCTCCCCACTGTATTTTCCACTGAATGCATCCGATGAAGTGAGCTGTAGCTCACGAAAGCTTATGCTCAAATAAATGTGTTAGTCTCTAAGGTGCCACAAGTCCTCCTTTTCTTTTTGCGAATCCAGATTAACACGGCTGCTACTCTGAAACCTGTTATTTCTTCCTAGACTTTTCTCTTCCTAGACTCATCACTTCATTTCTGAGTGCTTTGCAAATATTAGTGAATTTATTTTCACAACACTCCTGTGAGGAGGTGAGGGGGTGGAGCATGTATAGAACAGATGAATCTTTGGGGAGTTTAGAGGCTAAAATCTAAGAAGTCTCCACCAAGCATGTACGTGCTACAATTTTTGAAAGGCTTACAACTTGGCCAAATTTGGGCAGATTTTCATGGGGACAGCAAAAGCTAGCCACTGACATCCCTTACCAAATTTCAAGTCCTCCTCAAAAGTATGGTGGCACTAGAGCTTTGGAAAGAAAAGGTAACAAGAACTTTTTAAAATGGGCAAAAAAACCCCCTTATTCTTCCCTTGCCTCATTCTCAGAAACGAGGCACCCAATTTAGCTGAAATTTTCCCAAAAAAATCAGCCCGAGGTACACACTTCATGGAAAATTTATGCTCAAACAGTTAAGTGTGACAAAATTATAGGCAACTGAAAACAGAGTCTAAAAATGGGAAGTGACAGGCAATCTCAGTAGGTGGTTGTACCAACCCTTCCTATAACTGTAGTAGGAATTTGGAACGCATCTGTGTTCTATAACGAGACTTCAATGGCTAACATCCACTTGTCACTATCGCTGCTGAAATGAGTGGGGGATTCATTTCATGGGGCTGTATCTTCACTGCAGTTAGAACCAAACTGCTACATAACAGCTGATCAGAACTATGAACCTCAATGGTAAAACAGAAGGACAGTTGAAAAGCAGTGCAAGAAAGGATGATAAAGACGGACTTCTGAAGACAGCACAGATTGAATTAGACTAATGGAGAAGCACTGCCTAATAAGTGCTACTGTCACCTGTAAGTCTGAACTGCACGCACATTTCGTACTGATAGCTACTTTGATTAGGGTGCGTGATGTTTTTAACTGAAGTAGTTATTGTGCTACAACCCCTAGGGGGAGCACAGTTGTACTGATACAAAGGTGCTGTGTGGGAATAAGCTGTACTAGCATAAGCATTTTTATACTGGTATAGCTGCATCCGCAGTAGGAGAATTGTACCGCTTTAATTACACCAATGATACCAATATAATTAAAGTGGTACAACTTACGTTCATAAGGTCCTAGACATCAGTGTTATAAATAAGGTTAAGATTTTGTCATGGGGGTATTTTAGTAAAAGTCACGGACAGATCACGGGCAGTAAACAAAAATTCACAGAATCCCGCAACCTGTCCCGTGACTTTTACTAAAAATGCCCCGGGGGGCAGAAAGGGGAGGAAAGACTAACAGTTGGAACCCTCTGGAGCCTGACCACTGGCCTCTGCTCCAGTTTTGCCACTCCTCCTGTGATGTTGACCCAGCTTGGCTGCTGCTCCTGTGGCAGGAGATGACCGCTGGTCCCAGGGGCTACTCTGGCCCTGACCGCTGCTCCTGCTCCAGCCCCGGGGGCTGACCCGGTCCCAGGCTTTTGCTCCGGCGGCTGACCTCCAGCTCCAGCCGCTGCTCCTACAATGGCAGATGCTGACTGCTGCTTCAGTCCTGACTGCTGCCCCTGCTCCAGTGGCCCCTGCTCTGGCCCTGGGGGCTGATCTGGTGGCCCGGGGCCACTCCTCTGGCCTCACCACTGCTCCTGGGCTGAGGCTGACAGCTGCTCCAGCCCTGCCATTGATTAGGTTTGTTTTCGCTGAAGCTGAAGAAGTCACAGAGGTCTGTTTAAGTCATGGAGTCCGTGACCTCCATGATAGAGTTAGATCTTTAGTTGTGGTCAGGAATGGTGTCCCTAGCCTCTGTTTGCCAAAAGCTGGGAATGAGCAACAGGGAATGGATCACTTGATAATTATCTATTCTGTTCATTCCCTCTGGAACACCTGGCAGTGGCCACTGTCGGAAGACAGGATACTGGGCTAGATGAACCCTTGGTCTGACCCAGTAGGGCCATTCTTATGTTTAAGTAATAGCCAACATAGATTTGTCAAGAACAAATAATGCAAAATAAACCTAATTTTCTTCTTTGACAGAGTAACTGGCATACTGGATAGGGGGGAGGTTGTTGACATGATAGATCTTGATTTTAGTAAGGCTTTTGACACATGACATTCTCATAAGCAAACTTGGGAAATGAAGTCTAGATTAAATTACTATACGATGGGTGCAAAACTTGTTGGAAGACCATACTTAAAGAGTATCAATGGTTTGCTGTCAAACGGGTGGGAGTTGGCAGGGTATATGTAAGGGGACCTGCCAGGCTTTGTCCTGGGTCTGGTACTATTCAATATTTCCATTGATGACTTGGATAGTTTGGAGCAGAGAGCATGTTTATAAAATTTGCAGATGACACCAAGCTGGGAGAAGTTTCTAGCGCTTTGGAGGACAGGCTTAGAATTCAAAATGACCTTCACAAATTGGAGAATTTGTTGGAAATCAACAAAAAGAATTTCAATAAATGCAGTGCAAAGTACTGCACTTAAGGAGAAGAAAAGCCAATGCACAAGAACAAAAGCCAATGCACAAGAAACAATGATATAGCTGGCTAGGTCTGCTGAAAAGGATCTGGGGGTTAGAGCGGGTCACAGATTGAATATGAATCAACAATGTGATGCTGTTGCTAAAAAAGAAGATATAATTCTGGGGTGCATTAACAGGAATGTCTCATATTTAAGATGTGGGAGGTAACTGTCCTGCTCTACTCGGCACTGGCGAGGCCTCAGCTGGAGAACTGTGTCCAGTTCTGGGAGCCACACTAGGAAAGATACAGACAAATTGGAAAGAGCACAGCGGCTGGCCAAAAAAAACCTGATAGAAGGTTTTGAAAACCAGACTTGTGAGGAAAGGTTAAAACTGAGAGGGAGCCTGATAACCATTTTTAAATATGTTACGGTCTGTAATAAAGAGGTTGGTGATCAACTGTTCTCTGTGTCTACTGAAGGTAGGACACGAAGTAATTGGCGTAATCTGCAGGAAAGCAGATTTAGGTTAGATATTGGGAACATCTTTCCCAACTATCAGAATAGTTGAGCATTGGAACAGGCTTCCAAGGGAGGTTGTGGAGTTTTTAAAAACAGGTTAGACAAACACCTGTCAGGGCTGGTCTAGTTTTATTTGGCTCTGCCTCAGCCTAGGGAGCTGGACTAGCTGATCTTGAGGTCCCTTCCACCCATACATAGCTATGCTTTCACGACATCAGGACTGAAAAATACAACTAATTAGAACTCCAATAACCCACCTGTGGTACCAATATGTTTTTCTCCCACTTCCCACCCAACAGCATCTAGACTCTGTTTTTGTGTGTGTGATTTTTTTGGTTTTTAAACAGTACACCCAACAACATGCCCCTTGCATCTCAATTCTGATTTTGTTTTACAGCATTAACCAAAGTCTATCTGGCATCAGGAGTTCAGTGGAAGAGTACCGGCATTGGGGTTAAATTCCTTTGCAAGCAACTGAATGTTTCCCTTTAGAAGGCTGTGACAAGCACACATGCACAAAAACTTACTTGCTGCTTTGATGAAGCTTCTTTGAAACTGGTACATCATGAGTGGTCCAGGGAGCATTCTGGAATAGGAATAGCAATACATACACATTTGAGCAATAAAATAATCACTGAAATGCAGCTTGGAGTCTGCTGTTCCCATAAACCCATTCTTAAATCATAAAGGGCACCACTAAGCAATACCAACTTTCCTAACTAGTTTCCTCTCATCAGGAAAAACATAAAATACAGAGGGGGCTTTGTTTTAGTCTTCCTTTCCGCTCTTTAACTGAATCAACTACCACTGCAGAATTACCAAGATATATAAAAGAAATAACACAGGCCAAACCTCCCTATATTCTCGAAACCTTGTATTATATATATAACAAAATACTACAGCAACTTGATGTTAAAATATGTCACAGAAAACAGCACTACAATTCTAATGATCATCATCTCCAATCCAACCATTTCTGTGCATGGAAAACTTAACATGTATTTTGAAGGAAAGCTTGTGTGAACTTTGGTGTTGATGAAAGCGAGAGACCAAGAGCAGTGGCAAAGGCTATGCCTGGCACATTGTAGTACTGTGCTAATTCTCTCCGTACAGATTTTAAAATGGATCGCAATCCTGTCCTGCAGCTTCCCTGATATTTTAGTCATAGGGCTCCTCTCAGATTTGCCTATACACTTCAGTCCTGACCTGTGAAATGACCTACTATTCCAGTCCTGCGTCTCATATTCTCACCTTATTCCTGTGCTAACAGTTTAGAAACTCTTGGGAGCAAAGATTGCCATTCATGACAAGTTACGTGCGGGCTTTGTGATCTTCCAGGCTGAGATCAACCAACCTAACTACATTTGTCACCCACGTTGGACTTTGTTTCAATCTCTTATGCTTTAAAAATACAGACACGGCAGGTAGAAGCATGTTCTGCATAACAGAATACGTATTGCTACTTGCAAACTAATGAATATCCCTCTTTTTGGATTAGGAACCACCACTGCAGTCTGTGGCGGCTCATCCCATCTCTAAGGGTATGTCTACACTACCCATGTTACAGCACAGCCGCACCATGACAGGGGCAGTGTCGACACACTATCACTGGGGGAGAGCTCTCCTGGAGATTAAAAAAAAAAAAAAACACACCCCGAACAAGCGGTGGGAGTGCGGCTCCCGGCGATAAAGCGCTGTCTAATAATGATAATAGCTTTTCAGCGCTAAAACTTTTGTCGCTCGGGGGGTGTTTTTTCACAACCCTGAATGACAAAAGTTTTAGCGCTCAAAGTGGCAGTGTAGACACAGCCTAATATTACCTGTCAATGCATAATGCAATGCAATAAAAATGAAGGTTAGGATGAGAAGGGGGCCATAATTAGAAGTTTGTAGTTTATTAATTACTGACAAATTCTTGCATATCTTTATTACTAAATAAATACCAGGAAGAAATTAATCTCAAGGAGGCACCAAAGGAAATAGTGTGATGTTGGCTCTAACATTCCTCTCCACAGTATCAGTTTTCTCTGGACTAGTGCTTCAGTAAATGATGTTACATGTCATACTTATACAATAATAGAAGATAACCCAGCTGTAACAAGGGCATCAGTTTTCATATGGTTGGACTGTACCCACATGTACAGTTCTATGCCTAGATATCAAAGAAAGCCTTATGAATTTTCATGGTCCTTTTGGAAATATAAACTAACTCTGAACTTTCTGCCACTAAACCATCAGGACAACAGATTTGCTAGACAGCAGCATACTGGAATGCATTGGGTCTTCGCTTACAGGGAAAAGCCTGAATCAAGAGACAAACTTAACAGTGAGGTACATAAGAAGAAGTGTTTATAAGTTATGGCTGTATCACATGAGTAGGGCTCTACCAAATTCGTGGCCACGAAAAACTCATCACGGTCTGTGAAATCTGGTCTTTTGTGTGCTTTTACCCTATACTATACAGATTTCACAGGGGAGACCAGTGTTTCTCAAATTGGGTGGGGGGAGGTCACAAGGTTATGTTAGGGCAGGTCATGGTATTACCACCCTTACTTCTGCACTGCCTATAGAGCTGGGCGGCCGGAGAACGGTGGCTGTTGGCTGGGCGCCCAGCTCTGAAGGCAGCACCCTGCCAGCAGCAGGGCAGAAGTAAGGGTGGCAATACCATTCCATGCCACCTTTACGTCTCTGCTGCTGCCTTCAGAGCTGGGCGGCCAGAGAGAGTAGTTGCTGCTGACTGAGGGCCCGCCTCTGCAGGCAGCAGCGCAGAAGCAAAAGGTGTCGATACCGTACCATGCCATCCTTACTTCTGCACTGCTGCTGGCACTGGTTCTGCCTTCAGAGCTGGGCTCCCGGCCAGCAGCCGCTGCTCTCCAGCTGCCCAGCTCTGAAGGCAACGCCACCGCCGCCAGCAGCTGCAGCGCAGAAGTAAGGGTAGCAGTACCACAAACCCACCTACAATAACCTTGTGACACCCCCCCACACACACACACAACTCCTTTTTGGGTCAGGACCCCTACAGTTACAACACCATGAAATTACAGATTTAAATAGCTGATACCATGAAATTTATGATTTTTTAAATCCTATGACCGTGAAATTGACCAAAATAGACTCTCCACATTAGCATCTGTACAGTACTCAGTAAATTCCAGAAGTCCTGCCCAAGAATGCATGGGGTTCAGTGGAAAAGCCAAGGTGGATTCTTTAAGAACAGTCTCTTCCTTAGTTATTTTAAACTCGTTCTCTTGACTAGAAGCTCGGGTAGTGGGCGAGGAGATCCCCAGGACATTACAGAACACACTTGTGGAGACATAGAACACAGGAGGCATTTCTCCCCTACCTCAAGTAAGTTTTCAGTGCACTGGTGATAGTCTTTATCTCCCACTCAGCACAGATGTCCGTTTCTGTTTCAGAAGCTGTTTTGGGATCTAGAGAAGAAAGGCAACAAAAGAATGAGTGGCTCAAAGAGAACACATTAAACAACACAGTCACCTCCAAAGCTGCTACTGTGGGGTTACTCTGAAAGAAGATCCCACTGCTCAGTTTCTCAATAGTCTCTCCAAATAACCAACACCAGCAAATACTTTGAGCCTTGAGAGCTGTTCCTGCTTACATGGATATGGATGAAGATGGTGACCACAGGCTGGACACTAGGACTCACTTGCATGTGTTCAAAAGCAAAAAGAAGAGGAGCTCATCACTCATGGCTGATGGGACCAATAGTTTTGTTTCAAGCGTGACAATAAAAAAGGGTTTCAAGACACTGCTGTGCTTAGGTACTGCAGCGACGGAAGCAGAACAGTATCAGACAGACTAGACACACGCCGTTTAATTTAGACTTTGGGGCACAACTGCAGTATAAATAAATACATCAAAATAATAGAAGGACAATGGCAGCAAGGCATGCCTAAATGACTGGCAAGTGACTTGGGCACACAGCAGTACAAATAAGTGGTGGGGAACAGACAGTGACTGCTAGTAACCAGGGCCAGCTGTATCATACAATTAAAGCAGGCAAGTGCCCAGAGCAACAAAATAACAGGGGCAATAGGACATTCAGTAAGTGTGTGCATGAGACACTGCTGGCTGGAAAAGGCAGACATTTGCTTGCTTGCCCAGGGCAGAACCACCACTAGACCTAGCCCTGCTGGCAACTGAGGAAATTACACATGCACTTTACCCGCTTTGTTCTGCAGCTGGAGTAAAAGGAGGAAACAAAGTTGGCGCACACAGCACTATATAGCAGGACACTGGCACAACAGCGTGTCAGCAAATTATCCACTGCGTCACTTGACCTGGTAGACCCTAGGTTGCCACTCCAGAAACCTGCTGCCAGATGAGTGCTTTTGCCAGCCTGACATTTGCTGCTAGAAGGTGGAGGGAGAACTCAGGCCATAAAGTTCCCATTGGCTTGCAAAAGCAGGAGCATCTGCAGGGACCCTGCTGGCAGAGTTCTACAGCAAGGAAGCTTATACACCGTCAGCTTTCTCTAAGGCATACGGGTGATGGGGAAAGCAGCGTATTCTTGTTTAATCTATTTGTATCACAGTGAGGGGAGAAATACCAAACCCTATTTTTAAATGTTGTAGAGCAATGAGTCTGGGAAGGCGGCACAGGCTGGGCGGGTTATTAGCTTAGAAAAATCATATTTTGGTTTGTTTTTTCACCTCTAGCCTCTTGATGTCATTCTATTCGTTTTCTACATCCTCTTCTCAGCAGACTGTTCCTTGGCATCCTTAAAGATTTTTTTAAATGTCTGATTCATCCCTCCCCATCCCCAGAGTCACATGCAGAGATTTACAGAAACTTCTGAACTTCCACAACATGAGCAAGCCCTGGAGAGATGTCAAATATTACTGCAAATCTCTTCATTCTAGGGGCAATCCGGCTCAAACAGCAAGACAACAAAAGACAGAGCCTGGCTGTAAGTGAGCAGAAATTGGCAAGTTTTACATGTGCAAGCCATTGCATGAACCACATCTAGTAAACCAGCTATTTAGCCTTCGCCAGGCCTCCAACCAAACAAACCTTATGTAACATTACAGAGGAAAAAAAGACTCAAACAACAGTCAGGCTAGAAGGCTTTTTATAGCAATAGTAGGCAAGTTTCTCAGAGCTTAAGCACTTCCATTTTAATGTACTTCATTTCCAGGCCAGCCCTGTCCAGAGACTCCCAAGCAATCTTTGTTTTCAAAAAGGGCTGCCAATTTCTGCACCTCCCTGTAGATCTCTCTGGTATGCTGGGAGTTTGACTCTTCTGATCCTCAGAACCTACCTGGGAACAAATTAAACTCTTCTGGCAGTCTCTGAGTGCTGTGTGTTCATATTCATATCAGCAGTTTCCTTTCCCACACTGACCCTTGCCCTCCACATGTGCATGCATGCCTCTGCACTGTGCAGCTTTATCTCTGCCGTTCACCTTCTAATTCCCGAGGTTGCAGCCACCATCTTTGCCCAAGAAGGGTTGGTTTGGACACAGGAGCTCGTCCAGGCAGTCACTGGGCTCAACACTTAGCAGCCCAGAAAGTGAGACGCCTAAGCTAGGAGTGGCAGCCAATGTCTCCTGCTTGACAGTGCAAAGCACTAACCACCAGCCCTGCCCAAGGGCTGTTTTTAACTTTATTAGTCCCAAATCCACACATTCCTTCACATGCCACCATGAAAGCACAGGAAGAGAGATGGTCCATTGCACCAGTTGGAGAGGGGAAGAAAACCGCTGCGCAAACTGTGGCCAGATCAGAGTGAACCAGCAGCTCACCTTTTATGTCAAAGTGCTCATTTTCCCAAGGCTTCTCCAGCTACGCCGTGGTGAGTGGCTACTCTCCAGCCCTTTCCTCTGGCCAAAGAGACATACAAAAAAATCTTCCTCCGGCTGGCATGGATACACACAGAGGGAACCCATTGAGGCTGTGGATGGCTGCCTTCCTCCAGCCCACAAAGACCAACTGTCCACTATTACCACCCTGCCAAAGGAATGCTCCTTCCCCACTGGCTCCTCCTAGGGCCGGTTGCAAAAAGCACTAACAGAGCCTGCTTCGTGGTTCTGCTACAGTCCAGCCAGGCCTCCAGTTAAGCATTCCCCCAATAAAAGGGAGCAAAACTTTAATTAGCAGTGAAATTGATGGTGTAGAGCCCAGTCATGCAAGATCCTGCTGAGTGCCCTCAACTCCTTATTCCATGGCTAGAGACGCTCAAGACCTCACCAGATCAGGCCCAGAACATGAAGGGAACATTTGGCAATGCTGTTATCCTTCCGGGTCCTCAGCATTCTGACTGCCTCTGTTTCCACTGGCCCAACAACCTGCTCAGCCCACTTGTGGAGACTGCCAGGTTTGGCTCCCCTACCCCAGCAGGGCCCAGGAGGACTGTGGAAGCAGCTTGGCGCACACAGAGAGAGGACAGGTAAATGAACAGCTGTAAATGGCTCTTCCGCACCCTCTGCTGGATGATTTCAGGAAAGGCTCTCCCAGGCTCCGTGAGGTGGCCCAGTCATCCCCAACCCAAGACAGGCTGTTACACTTGGCATCGTGAGGCTCATATAAAAGGCCATCAGTGGAGATCCTCTTGGCTCCTCAGCAGTGTAAAAACACAGGGAGAAATTCTGTGCTGCACCTTGTAGAGGCACAATATAAACTTTGCAATTGGGTGGAAGGAGCTGGGGGGCTGAGGAGGTAAGTGGCTTAAAGTCATTTTGCACCCTCCTAATCCTGGGCTGTTTCAGGAGCTGAAATGGCCCCCAAAAGAACTTAGGCACTCAACCCAATCTACTGAGAACCTCTGTAGTACACAGCGCCTTCCCCACCCCCATCATCTGCAGACCCTGGCATACCCCCTACACTGGCATGTATGGGACATTCATTGTGCTGCCTTCACAATGTCTCTGCCAGGGGAATTCTCTGGCTGGCTCTAGGGCTTTTATGGCCTGAGAGCACAACAGCATATGGGGGCCAAAATGGGTTTTAAGCTCAATATGGTGCACCTATCTGGAGTGAAGGAGCCTGTTCATTTATTCTGTTTTTATTTTTAAACACCGCTTACTCCTCTCCTTCCCCTCATCTCTTCGGTGGGCCTCCCCTCCCTTTGTGTATTTCTTTTTTAAATTCCCTTTAAGAAAGAAAGAAATGAACAAACAAACAAACAAACAAACAAACAAACCACATGCAGCTGTTCTGCACGGAGTGAATATGAGGCTTTGGCCAGCAAGATGTTTTCTTCCAAAACCCAAGATCTGAAACAACTGCAAAGGAAGTTGTGCTTTTAGAAACCTGGAGTCATGCTGCCTGTTCTCTGATCGCTGTAAGCCTCCAACTAGATCAGGGAGCGAGGGCTTTTTTTGAAGTCATTGTTTGTAGTTAGACAATATTTAAGGCAGTATTTAATCAGTTTCTGTGGAAGCTCTGGTAAAACATCCTAATGCCATTACAGTAAAATAATGATTTGAAAAGGCAGGAACCAGTTTTTTCTTCCTGCAGACTTCTAGCATTTTGTACCCCAGTGCTACAGGGCTAAAGGATTGCTGAAACCAGTTACCATCAGGTGGCTGTTCAGTGACCTATGTGAAGTGAGTGGGCATTTTCAGTCCAGTTCCTAGCAGACAACTGTCCATGTTCCAAAGATCGTCATGACAACTGTCACTGACCATTAAAACCAAATTACACTAAAAACTACCATCACATTTGCATTAATTGGCACCACTGGTGGTAACCCAGGTAAACGCTCAGGTATGGAATCTGCATAACAAGTGAAGATCCTGGCTCCTCCACGTAAGGATCGTAAGGATCGAAAAGCATTGTCTGGTCACCGTTTGAGAGAGAGAAAGCCATGAATAAGTTCCTCTTGCAGGCACAATTACATGCTTCTCATTGCTTTTGTGCTTGTTTGCTTTCCGTTTCTGAGTTCGTTTACTGTCTAATTTAATTCTCAATCTCTTTAACTATTGGTAGGTGAATTTGACTATATTAATTTCCTATATTAAATGAAGAGTGATAAATAAAACCCTAGGCCTTGATTACAAGCTCGGGACACTGACTGAAAATAACCCAGATATGAATGAGAATAGAAAGTGAGCCAGATCAGACAATGGGAGTCTTTCCATTGATCTCACTGAAAACTGGAGCGGGTCCTTCTGATGCAATTGAAAAAGTGCTTGACTGCCGGCCTGCAGGAAACATAGAATTCCGAAGCATATGAGGATGACTAAAGCCAAATAGAACGCTGCTGGGTGCAGCTGATTACCCTCGATCATTCCCTGGATTCAACTTACTTTTTCTGCACTCATTTATAATATGTTCCTGAATTTTAAAACAATAGGTAAAAACTGTGCAATTTTGAAAACAATTAAAAGTTTGTACTGAATAAGAGTTCGGATTTCCTTAAAGGCAATGGATTTATTTTAAAGAAAAACACATCAAAAGGGGTAGTGAAAAAT